AATATGTATATTACCTATAGTTAATGTGTTCTTTGATGTGTTATATATAAGAGTTGATAAAAAGTAATCTATTGGAAAATGAATAAAATGGATAAGAAAAGATAGATTTTATATATTTTCTCTCTTATACAAAGGTCAGAGAGGAGCGCTTCACATTATTCTACAAATTATCCGAATGATTCGTTTGATCCGATTGATTCGTTCATAGTTTTGACGGCTTCCCTAACTATTTTTTAAGTATGGCAGAAATATCCAGGCAGCGCCTTAAAATGGCTTCCAAAACGGTTAGTTTTCCACTAAAATTGTTGAAACTTTCATAAATGACATGGTTTTGTAGTCTCATTTCGTTGATGAAAGCAAAAAAATTTCTCAAGCTGACTGTAGATCCTGAGGTCTCCGGTGACCTTAAAAACTACAGCTATTACACTCTGAAGTTATATAATTTCGATTAGTTTAGTCGACTGGTGCTTGTGTTCCAAACAAAATCATGTCATTTATGAAAGTTTCAACAGTTTTTGTGGAAAATTAACGATTTTGGAAGCCATTTTAAGCCGCTGCCTCGATATTTCTGCCATACTTAAATGTAGTTACCACAAAGTTAACTAACTGATAGTTACCGTTATTTCAACGATAACTGGAAACGCAGTTATCGTTCAAACAACGGTAACTGATATGACGGTTACCGATCTTTTAACGGTTTAACGGCAGTTCTAGTTTACACAACACAAGTTTACATGACGAGATTCTTTTATTGACATTTTTCATCGGAGTTTAGTTAATCGCCATGAAAATGAATAAATTATCCGAGTCATTTCTATGGACTTTGTAATACAATATTAAGAACTCGAGTTTTGCTCTCTTGACCTTCGTTTACTCTATTTATTCTATTCGAAAGAGAAAAGAAAAAGTGATAGTCTATTTACATGAATATTTGCCAAAGATAAGAAAAGAAGAAAAATACACTTTCTAATAATCAGTTTTAGCTTTGGCAAAACAAACATCTTGTTACGTAGACATCCTTGAATATTTAAAACTCGATTTGATCTGCATAAGGTAATAGTATAATTAATCTTAATTTCACTCGAAAGAACGTTTTAACAAAGAGCAGAAAAAGAGGAAAGGTGTAACTAGTACCCAACATTAGCGCCAACTAAAAAACAGAATGCCTGCCTGGCTACTATATTTTTAAAAAGTATCACGGCTCTTTATCGCAGTCCACTGTTCATGTCTCATCTCATCGTTCACAAATCTATTTTACCTTCACTTTTTTCGCGCGTTGCTACATTGTCGCGTTGATTTTAGGTTCTTTTACTTCATTTCATATAAATACTAAAGATTCTTCGTTCGGGTTTAGTAATTACTGGTTTTATCTTCTGCGAACAAGTGTTATCGATATAATTTTCTTTATATTAGCAATATGCGTAGCTGGTCTCTTCAGATATAGCAGCTCTCCCCAAAAAGAACAACTTTTCATCAACATTTGATAAACGAATTTTAGTTGAATTAAAACCACTCCAAATAAAGCACCAAAAGAATACTTCTGTAATATTCTACTTCTAGGATAATTTTTCTCTAACCTTACTGTTGGTATTCAATACCTTTTAATTGATTAAAATTGCCAGTAGCACTGTAATCACTCTAGTTGCACCTATAATGTCCACAACGGATGTCTCCAGTTTGACCATTGATTCGATTCCTTATAGCCAAACTTGATGAAAAACAAACCAAAAAGCGGCGGTACAAGTGACGGTATCACTTGTGCAATCAAAATTTGTATCGATGGAGTTACAATTCCGAAGAGACTAACCACGAATACTGCTGATAACAAGAAAACTATTTCGATGATCCTTTTTTCGAAGAGAGATAATCGAAGATGAACTTTGCTTGTGCATCGAGTGCTTGCGCTGATGATCATAGTTCTTTGTCTCTTGCTATATGCGCACTAGTACGAAGGCGCAAAGGACGTTAAGTATTTTAGAGCATATTGATTATGAGCAAGCATGCTTCATTAAGCACAGGGCACTAAAAATAGGGCGCATTATCAGGCATGCATTGGTTTCGGTTAATCGAAAGCAGTCAGAAGTGAAACTGATCAAATGAAATAAGTTTGTGTTAGGATTTGATAATGTTTTACATGTTTCTTGATTATCTTGGTATGTTCCATATACCCAATGGCGCGGTAAAAGATTACTCTGAACAAACAATTCAATATTGTTGAGCTCAACTATTGTGAGTGTGAAACGTTTTGATTTATTCAGATACTCCTTTTCTTCTTCAATTTCTGAAAAACATTTAAGTCATTTTCTAAGCCGATATCAGTCTGTTTATTGTCGCAAGCTATAGTAGGCATAGGCGGTAAAGCGCGGTTACCGTTATTCACGGTAACGCTGGGTATTTTTGGTATTAATATAAGGATTACGTTTTTACTGCTGTTTTACTATTATTATCAATACTTGTTGTCGGCGATATGGTGTCAGATGACATACATTGTTAACTAAAGCTTTAATGTCTCCTTCAACTTTCAACTTTTCTTTATGCTTCAAAACAGAATAACGAAATGGATCAAACCAACAATGAAACTAAATGGGAACCACAAATAAAATTAGAAAAATCGTCTGTAGCATAAGTATTTTAACATCTATGTCGCTTGGTATCTGTACACCTGCTATGCATTACTTTACTTCAGTTGATTTCGATGCAACTTAGAAAAGGCCAGAGAAGGAGATACTATGATGGTGATTGTTAAGCGTTACTAGACACCAAGGAGATACTGGTTAGTATCTCCTTTCCTGTCGGAAAGGAGTTCCACCAGCATTACAACAGTAGACAGAATACACTTTCTAACTTATAATTGCCTGCTTTTACGGTATATGAAAACCGACAGAAAAGGTCTTTTCTTCTTCCATTCAAAATCCACAGCTCTCTAAAAATCAAGGACAAAAAAAAGTGATAGTTTGCAAAATTATTTTTTCTGGTGTTACTATTAATATACGATTTTGAAATACCCAATTATTTACTTTTCCTGTTGATCAAATTTTCCGAAATAAACAATACTACTTTTATCAAAATCAGTCATGCGCTTTATTTGTTTAAGATGCCATCTACAAATAACACAGATGATGAACAAACATCAAGTACCCAGTTATCAAAGCAAGCCTTTTCTACTCAAGCATGTCGTCATTATGAACATCATCCTGGAGCGTTACATGGACTATCTCCAATCATTGTTAATTCCTCAACTTACAGACTAGATTCTGTTGCACATGGTGCCCGATTGTCTTCAAGACCTGATCAACCAATCAGTGATCAGGATGGTTTTGTGTATACCAGATGGGGAAATCCAACCGTACAGATGGCAGGTAAGGAAATATTTATCGCCTAAATATGATCCCAAACCTTTGCATTCTGTAGAATACATCCGCTTAAATTAGCTAAAGACTAATATACCACTCACTATAAAAGTAAAAGTGTGTAAACGACACACAAAAGTGAACGTCAAGTCTATCCCATTGACCGTCTAGGATGCACGCCATAGATATGTAAGATAACTGGTGGCGCAGAATAAAATGGCCAATTTTGGATGCTCTATCGATCTCACTCATTTACAACTTCACACCGTGTTTTTGCTACGTCAGCTGGACTCATAATTAGTTCTCAACTGGCATTTCAATTTTTTCATATTAAATTAATTTTTCTAATTAACAGTTTCAATTGAGAAACTTCGTTTATATATCAAAAGAAGCACAATTTAATTCTGTCTGAGATAATAGGACTAAAATCTTGGATTTAGAACGTTTTACTACTTTTATAGTCAAAAAAACTAACGTCTGTTAAAACTAGGTTCAAAAGTTAGCTTTTTTAAGAATTATCATGTTTTTGCATAGAGAAATGTTCCTAGAAGATTTAACTGCAAAATTTCGAACAATATGTGAGAAGATGCAGACTTTTCCGATGAATCTCCTGATGCCGTTAAAATTCTTATGGAATCTCTTTTTAGATCAAGGTAAACGTTTTTCTATTTTCAGTGTGTCGCAGTTTGACAACGGGGCATTCTTCAATATTTTGAATGGTATTCAAACGAGAAAAATGCTCCCGGAGATTCAAATAGCAGGTTTTGTAGAGAATTTAAGTCTTTATCGATTGAGCATAGAACCAACTCTTTGGACTACTGCGAAGTGCCTCGAAAACGAAGAACAAGGGTGGCTGTTTTATTCTGCGCTGCCCATTACACACTGAGAAGTGACCATATAGCTTTGCACACTGAATAATATAATTTAGTTATTTAAACCGTCTCTGCTGAAAACACTTCAGATTCACTGATCAGTTGTACAAATCTCGCATAATGTTTTTTTCTTATCAGTTTCGGATGAAAATTACAGAATATTGGTTTTCAAAGACGTCAGTCATGATTCTAGCATGAATTTTTTCATTTCACGCAATAGTTCATGAGAAAAATAAAAATAATGACAAAATTCAACACACGTGGTTTTTTCACAGGAATCACAGATTGTTCTCTACAATTTTAGAATCGTAGCGCTTCTTTCATGATATCATTTTTTCCGTATTGCCTTATACCTTATAAAACTGCATACTTAACATTTCTTACTCTATGCATAGATACCCAAAGTGTTTCTTTTACGAGAATGATTTGTTTTAATAAACAAATATTTATAACTTAACATCGAAAAGTCATAGAAAGACGCACTACGGTTCCTAAATTGTAGAGAATGCCATGTTATTCGAAATTTATAAAATTAACTTTCACCAATATGAAATTTTTATGGTAAAGGTTATGTTTGAAGTCTCTACAATAATTATTAGATATAACCAAACCTTGACTATTCTGCAAAAATTCTCAGACTAGATGTATTCTTTAAAAGACGAGAGGTCTCTTAAGAAAAGCTTCAAAACATGAGATTATGTAAATTTCTTTTTTAATCTTAGCCGAATGTATTTCCAACCTTGAACAATCTGCTGGTACATTGATATTTTCATCAGGCATGGGAGCAATAAGCTCTACATTTTTAACTTTGTTGTCGGCTGGTGATCACATCGTAATAGCACGTAGCGTTTATGGTGGTTGTTATGAGTTATTAACAACGTATGGTCAAAATTTAGGTTTCGAAGTTAGTTTTGTAGACGCAACTGATATCAGTAATTATGCTAAAGAAATCAAATCAAATACAAAGGTGTTATATGCTGAAACACCTTGTAATCCAACTATGCGTGTTACTGACTTGTATTCATTAGGTCAATTATCTATGAAATATGGTCAACAAATAAAAGTAGTTGTTGATGGCACATTTGCTACTCCTTATCATACCAGAGCACTAAACATACCTGGTATTGATATAATAATACATTCAGCAACAAAATATTTGGGTGGTCATTCGGATCTTACGGCAGGTTGTGTTAGTAGTAATGATAAATCATTTTTATCAAAATTGACAAAAACAATGAAACTGTTTGGTTGTATATTAAGTGCCTATGATGGTATGTTATTAATGCGTGGTATAAAAACGTTAGATGTTCGAATGCAACGTCATAATGAAAATGCACAATATATCGCGGAATATTTATCTACACATCCATTTATTGATGTTGTACATTATCCTGGACTAACAACACATCCTGATCATGTAATTGCCAAAAGACAGATGAATAATGGATTTGGTGGTATGATATCGTTTGAAGTTAAAGGTGGAGCAGAAGCCGGTAGAGCAGTGGTTGAACATTTAAAATTAATTAATTTAGCTGTATCATTAGGTTCAATTGAATCATTGATATGTCATCCAGCATCGATGACACATGGTATGGTGCCAAGTGAAGTGAGAATAAATGCTGGAATTAAAGATGGTTTAATTCGGTTCAGTATTGGAATTGAAGATAAAGAAGATATAAAAAAGGATTTAGATCAGGCATTAGAATATGCTAAACCATTCATAGTATCTGACTAGAAACTTATTCTGTCATCATTAAGAGCAATTTTTAAGTTTAATGGATAACTGTCTGAACTTGATCAGATATGTTTCACTTTGGTCCGACGAGAGAAAGGACGTTTTGCTTAAATATATCGCAGAGTGCTTTTATTTTCTATATTGATTCTCTTACAACGATTCTCGTGAACTACAATATTTTACTGTTAGCTGCTGTTACGAAATATATAATTTTTTTCCATCTTCTTATACTAAAAAGCAATAAAATGCAAAAGAACATTTGCTGGGTCTACGCCATGCTCTTCACTTTGTAAAAGATAGTGGACACTGAACAGAATGATCAGTCATTTAATTTCAATACGTACTCATTAAATATAATACGGTTTCTCGACCTAAACTTTCTAATCAATGTATTAATCATTGATTACTTCAAGTTTTCAAGAATAAGAACACCATTTCGTTCATATGAACAGTCTAACTAATAATGGGAAGTGTTTCTTCAACTCAAAGTATTCGTATGATTCGGTAAAAAATGAGCTATTGAGCTCCAGTCTTTTTATCCCGAAGATAAATGATTAGTTTATTATAAAAATCACAGCTCATAACTCATTTCTTGTCTCGAACCTATGAGGGTGGGCCCAATGGTAAAAAATTCTGGTACTGCTACTGATTTTCATCACTTTTCATTTTTGCTCTCTGGGGATTAATTATCGAATACTTCAGCTAGTTTTCAAACGTTCGAAAGGGATTACGAAATCCGGATTTCGGACAGATGAAGATCATCCCTGGAACGCTTAAAGCGTTCGGGCAACCGCAAACAGATCGAACGAGAATAGGTTTTGGAAGAAGTGGGAAACCCGCTACGGAATACTTTTAGGAGCCATTGCACGTAAGCCACGACCGACGTTCTTCAATAGATGTTTTCACCACTTTTCCAAAGTGGGGGCACTTATAGACAAAGCATTTTAATTTGTTTTTAGTAAAAGGCGCAAATCAAAAAGTGGTATCGTTGCTGAGATATTGATATTTTATGAAAAGCCCCCCGACGATGAACAGTCTAACTAATAGCGGGAAGTGTTTCTTCAACTCAAAGTATTCTATATTGATTTTCTTACAACGATTCTCGTGAACTGCAATATTTTACTGTTAGTGCTGTTACTAGTATAGAATACATCCGCTTATATTACCTAAAGACTTGCTTGTAAAATGATCCCTCATTTTGGCTAAACTACTCACTATAAATGTAAAAGTGTGTAAACGACACACAAAAGTGAACGTCAAGTCTATCCCATTGACCGTCTAGGATGCACGCCATAGATATGTAAGATAACTGGTGGCGCAGAATAAAATGGCCAATTTTGGATGCTCTA